ATATCTATGTTATAGTTTGGGTAGGCTTAGTGGGGTACACACTGTGGGGTACAACCCCTTAGGTTTATTTTCTTTGTACCAACCCTCTCGACAGTCGACATCACTTTTGCCTCCTATTCTAACACGTTGATAAGCTGCACCTATTCTCATTGATATATGTCGTTTTCAAGCCCGTTTTGACCTAGTGGTATGTCGTTTTCATTCTTTTGTTGATGGCCGTTTCAAGGGCTGCAACCCATTCTGCTACGTTGGTTTTTGGCTGCTGCAGATTTCGACCTATTCGGTTAGGTCGATTTCTTGCCTGAAAACCCTTTCAAGGTTAGATTTCCTAGCTTAACCGCCACTTCTTCCATTCGTTTTTGTTTCTTAACCTTTCGTTTTTGTTCTCTCCTTCCCTCTGCTTCTCTCCACTTCTTCCGATCTTCTGCTCTCCTTTATTTCGATTCACATTCTACTTGCTTGCTCCTTTCAGCTCCTGCTCTTACTTTTGTTTTCTTCCGTACGCCGTGATTTCTTCCCCCACCTTAATTGAGTTTTGAAATGATATTAAGAATTCTGCTCAGAGAGTTGATTCACTAGGTATGAGCATATTCTTGATCGTTCTCTCTCTCTCGTTCTCTCTCTCTCTCTCTCTCTCTCTCGTTCTTTCTCGTTCTCTCGTTCGTTCTCCCTCGTTCCTTCTCCCTCGTTCTCTCTCTCGTTCTCTCTCCCTCGTTAGGTGAGCTCGTTTATCAGTGAAATTCACTGCTAAGATATATTGTTGTTTGTTGTTTTGTTACTTGCTCTGCTTTTTGGGTTCTGTTTTCTATGTATGTCGCTATTCATTATTTTTTTACCTTAGCACCATTAGGTTGTATTCTGTTTGGTTATTATGATTTTTTCCTCCCCTGCCTTTCTTTCCTTTCCATTTTCACTGCACTTTGATAATTCATTTTTCTCTCCCTTCTTCCTTCTTTCCCTCTCCGCCATTCGTTGCCTACTTGGTTTTCCGGATTTCCCTACTGACTTTTGTTCCAGATGTGTATATCTGCCAAGATTACTTGTGAAGTGGGTAGCAGTATGTCAAACTTATATCTGCTATAGTCTATTTAGGCTGTAGTGGGGTAGTTCTTAGAGGGTACAACACTTATGTGTTTCCTACTTGTACCCATCTCATTTCTAGTTCATTCATTCTTTCGTCAATTATTCTCACATGGTATAGAGCTAGTTTCGAGTTTTTTTTTAAAAGGGCCCACCACTGAAATTTTTCACTGCCTGCTCGACGCGCGCGTCGCGCCTTCCCTTCGAGGCCCGTCGCGGCCCCTGCGCCTGCCCTTAGAGCCAGCGCCGGCCCCGTAAGGCCCCGTAAGGCCCCCTTTTCCGGCCCCGTAAGGCCCCTTAAGGCCCCGTTTACGGCCTCGTTTAAGGCCCCGTAAGGCCCCGTAAGGCCCCGTTAGGCCCCGTCTACGGCCCCGTTTAATGCCCCGTAAGGCCCCGTAAGGCCCCGTTTACGTCCCCGTTTAAGGCCCCGTAAGGCCCCGTCAGGCCCCGTTTAAGGCCCCGTAAGGCCCCGTAAGGCCCCGTCAGGCCCCGTTTAAGGCCCCGTTAGGCCCCGTAAGGCCCCGTAAGGCCCCGTAAGGCCCCGTCAGACCCCGTTTGCGGCCCCGTCAGGCCCCGTTAGAGGCCCCGTACGGACCCGTCAGGCCCCGTTATCGGCCCCGTCAGGCCCCGTCAGGCCCAGTAAGGCCCCGTCCGGCCCTGCCCCGACCCTACCCAAACCTGTCGCGGCCCTGCGCCGGCCCTGCTGCGGCCCTGTCGCAGCTCTGCCCCGGCCCTGCTCCTGCACTGCCGCGGCCCGGCCCCGGCCCTGCCCCGGACCTGTCGCGGCCTCGCCCCGGCCCTGTCCCGGCCCTGCTCCGACCCTGCCCCGGCCCTGCCCAGGCCCTGCCCCGGCCCTGCCCCGGCCCTGCCCCGGCCCTGCCCCGGCCCTGCCCCGGCCCTGCCCCGGCCCTGCCCCCTGCCCCGGCCCTGCTCCGACCCTGCCCCAGCCCTGCCCCGGCCCTGCCCCGGCACTGCCCCGGCCCTGCCCCCTGCCCCGGCCCTGCTCCGGCCCTGCCCCGGCCCTGCCCCGGCCCTGCCCCGGCCCTGCCCCCCCTGCCCCGGCCCTGCTCCGACCCTGCCCCGGCCCTGCCCCGGCTCTGCCCCGGCCCTGCCCCGGCCCTGCCCTGGCCCTGCCCCGGCTCTGCCCCGGCCCTGCCCCGGCCCTGCCCCGGCCCTGCGCCGGCTCTGCCCCGGCCCTGCCCCGGCCCTGCCCCGGCCCTGCTCCTGAACTGTCGCGGCCCTGCCCCAACCCGGCCCCGGATCCTTTGCGGCCCGGCCCCGGCCCTACCCCGGCCCTGCCCCAGCCTCTCCCCTGGTAAGAGCGCCGCGCTGCCGAGCCACACCGCCCTGCCGAGCCGCGCCGCCCTGCCTAGCCTGCTTAGCCGAGTTGCACTGCTACTGCTGCTAGCCTGCTGCTTCTCCTGTCATGGCTAGTCTCAATGTTCTTACCTTTGATGCTGAGGGTCGAGCTGTTGACTTTGAGGTCTGGCTAGATGATCTGCAGCTTTTCCTACAGTGCGATAGCAAGGATGGTCTCTCACTGTTCGATCTCACGTCTGGCGCCTCTACTGCCCCTACTGCTGATGCTGACAGTACTGTTCGCTCGCAGTGGCTCACGCGCGATGCTGCTGCTCGTCTTGCTGTGCGTAATCACCTGCCGTCTACTGAGCGCGCGCACCTTAGTCAGTACAAGAGTGCCAGGGCTCTGTACGACGCTGTAGTTGCACGCTACTCCTCCCCTACCACTGCTGCCCTCAGCCGCCTCATGCTGCCGTACCTTTTTCCTGACCTTGCCGCCTTTGCCACAGTTGCTGACCTAGTTGCTCACCTCCGCACTAGTGACGCTCGCTACCGCGCTGCCCTTCCCACTGAGTTTCTTCCCACGAACTCCCCCCCATGTACATCACCCTTTACTACCTAGTCACCCGCCTCCCTGACTCTCTCTCCTCAGTCAGGGATCACTTTCTCTCCCTTTGCCCCACCGAGCTGACTGTCGACTTGCTAGAGGAGCGCCTTGCTGCAGCTGAGAAGAGTATCTTAGCTGTCGGTGCTTCTCGCGGCGACCGTCGCACCCCCTTCTTTGAGGGGTGTTCCCCTGTCCCCCTTCTCCCCTCTGTTGCCTCTGCTGCTGCTGTCGACCTCGTTGGCACTGAGGAGGTTGGCGCTGAGTCTGCCCCTAGTGGGCGACGCCGCACTGGCAAGGGCAAGGGAAGCAGGGGTGGTGGAGGGGGCGGTGGAGGAAGCGGTGGAGGAGGTGGAGGAGGTGGAGGTGGTGGTGGGGGTGGTCCCGGGAGTGGGGGCGTCGGTGGCGGCAGTGGAGGCCGTGGAGGCGGTGGCAGAGGAGGTGGAGGCGGCGGCAGCGGTGGTGGAGGTAGCGGAGGAGGTGGTGCTGGTCGCGGTGCAGCCACGCAGCGTGGAGGCCTTGGTGGCAGCCAGCGTCAGCAGCAGCTGCGCACCCGTGAGACCCCGTCTGTTCAGCAGCTTCGTGAGTGGTACGCTGGGCGTGGGAGGTCTGGGGGTGCAGGTCCCTGCACGTACGTTCTTCGCACAGGCACTCGTAGTGGGGAGGTGTGTGGTCTCCCACACACCACGCAGCGCTGCTTCGGCCGCTTGACTGACGCTTGGCGTACCCAGTTTCCTGACGCTGTTGAGCTTCCTCGTTGGCATGATCTGCTTCTGCAGAATGTGCCTATCTTTGATGTAGACTTTGATGCTATCCTTGCTGCTATGTATGCTCTTGCTGATATTACTGAGGGTGACTGTTACCTGAGTGTCCCGCCCGACCTGGGCACTGCGGCTGCTGCTCTAGGTGCTAGTGCGGCTGCTGCTCTAGGTGCTAGTGCGTCTACTGCTCCAGGTGCTGGTACGTCTCCTCTCTCAGGTACTGCACCTACTGCGTCCTTTCACACTTTCACACTTGACTCTGGTGCCTCGCGCTCTTTCTTTAGAGACAGCACCACGCTCACGCCGCTCAGTCGGCCTGTTGCGGTCTCCCTTGCTGACCCCTCCGGGGGCCCAGTACTTGCACACTCCTCCACTGTCCTACCGTGTCCTGCGGCCCCGTCGGGCTTGCTGTCGGGACTCCACCTCCCCTCGTTCTCTACGAACCTGGTGAGTGGAGCTGACCTCCAGGACGCGTGCGTTGACCAGTTCACCCCTGGAGGTCAGCGTGTGACCCACTGCACTTGCTCTCGGACGGGCCGTCACCTGGCCACGTTCACCCGTCGGCCAGGGTCGAGTCTGTACACACTGACTACTGCGCCTCCTCCGGTCTCTGCGTCTGGTCAGGTAGCTGCGTCCAGTCTGGTGTTTGCTGCCGCGTCCAGGTCCAGTCCTGCGTCTGCCCCCTGCTCGTGTCGTCCTTTGGCACACGAGACTCTCCTTTGGCACCACCGCCTTGGTCACCCCTCCTTGCCTCGTCTTCGAGGTATGGCCTCCCGTGCCCTTGTCTCGGGTCTACCCAGGTCCCTCCCTCCCCTTCCTCCGGGGCCTGCCCCCACCTGTGTTCCTTGTGTCGAGGGCCGGCAGCGCGCCGCCCCTCACTCCTCCTCGTTTCCTCCGACTGAGGCCCCTCTGCAGACTCTTCACATGGACGTGTGGGGCCCAGCCCGCGTCCGTGGACAGGGTCACGAGCGCTACTTCCTCCTGGTCGTTGACGACTACTCGCGTTACACCACAGTCTTCCCCTTGCGCAGCAAGGGTGAGGTCCCGGAGGTGTTGATCGACTGGATCCACGGTGCTCATCGCCAGCTCAGTGAGAGTTTCGGCTCAGACCTTCCTGTTCTGCGTCTGAACTCGGACAGAGGCGGGGAGTTTTCCTCTGACCTCCTGAGGGCCTTCTGTCGTTCGGAGGGCATCCGCCAGACGTTCACGCTTCCGGCCTCCCCAAGCAAAATGGGATTGCTGAGCGCCGCATTGGCATGGTCATGGACGTCGCTCGTACGTCCATGATCCATGCGGCTGCTCCCCATTTTCTGTGGCCGTTCGCGGTTCAGTACGCGGCGCATCAGATCAACCTTCAGCCTCGTGTCTCCTTGCCGGAGACCACACCTACTCTGCGGTGGACGGGGAAGGTTGGCGAAGCGTCCGCGTTTCGTGTCTGGGGATCTCGAGCTTTTGTCCGCGATACTACAGCGGACAAGCTGTCCTCCCGTGCCGTTCCCTGTGTCTTCCTTGGCTTCCCTCCTGACGCACCCGGGTGGCAGTTCTACCACCCCACCTCGCGTCGTGTTCTGTCCTCTCAGGACGTCACGTTCGACGAGTCGGTGTCGTACTACCGTCTCTTTCCCTACCGCACTGTCTCCCCCCCCCCCGCCGCTCTTCCTGGCACCAGGTACTCCCCTGGTACACCCCCTCCCCCCCCAGGGTCCTGCCCCCTCAGGTGTGTCCCAGGTAGACCCTGCCGAGCCGGTCGAGGTAGCTGTCGACTCAGGTGCTGCTAGGGGTGCTGACCCTGCGGGTGCGGGGACTGGGGGTGCTGAGTCTGGGGGTGCTGAGTCTGGGGGTGCTGAGACTGGGCGTGCTGAGCCTGGGGGTGTGGCACCTGAGGGTGCTGTGTCTGGACGTGCTGAGCCTGCGCGTGCTGAGTCTGGAGGTACTCTAGGTGTCCCGTCGCGGCGGGAGCCCCTCTCTCCACAGCGGCTTCGTGAGTGGTACTCTCGGCGCTGTCGGGTTGCTGCTGGGGGTGCTGCTTATGCTGGAGCTGCTGGAGCTGCTGGAGGTGCTGGTGCTGCAAGAGGTGGTGCTGGTGCTGGAGCTGCTGGAGGTGCTGCTGGTGCTGGAGGTGCTACTGGAGCTACTGGAGGTGCTGGCGCTGCTGGAGGTGGTGCTGGTGCTGGAGCTGCTGGAGGTGCTGCTGGTGCTGGAGCTGTTGGAGGTGCTGGTGCTGCTGGAGGTGGTGCTGGTGCTGGAGCTGCTGGAGGTGGTGCTGGTGCTGGAGCTGTTGGAGCTGCTGGAGGTGCTGGTGCTACTAGAGGTGGTGCTGGTGCTGGAGCTGCTGGAGGTGCTGCTGGTGCTGGAGCTGCTGGAGGTGCTGCTGGTGCTGGAGGTGCTACTGGAGCTACTGGAGGTGCTGGCGCTGCTGGAGGTGGTGCTGGTGCTAGAGCTGCTGGAGGCGCTGTGCGGCCGCGGCCGTACTACGTTCCGCTCCTTCAGCAGGTTCTTGGCTCCCCGCCTCCTCCTGGTCCTCCTCCTCCTTTCCTGAGTCCACCGCTTGTCCAGTCCCAGTCGCAGTTGCAGCCGGCCTCTCCACTGCCTGGTCCTTCTCCTTACTCTGGTCCGACTAGAGGTCTTACGGAGCGTCGTGAGCCTGAGTCTCGTATTGCGTCGCCTGTCCGTACTGTTCGCGCTGGTCGTGTTTCGCGTCCGCGTCTTCCTCCTGTCCCAGGCACTCACTCTATGACACTGCGTCCTTCTACTGCTCCACAGCATGTCTCTCTGCCCTCTCCTCCTGCGTCCTCTCTTCCTGACGGTCCGGACCCGGAGTCTGACTCCCTTCGTGCTGCTAGTCCTACTGTCACGCGCTTTCTGGCCACTGCTGTCACTGACCCTCTGTTTGAGTCCTCTGCTGCGTCTGCTCTCGTTGCTGAGCTTGTTGACTTTGCTGCAGCCTGTCGCCTAGACTACGCCGCTAGTCTTGTTGCTGAGTCTGCGTCTGTGTCTGTCTGTCCTCCGTCCGTCGGGGGTGAGTGTGCTCTTGGCACGGACGTCCTTGAGGACAGGCAGGAGGACCTTGAGTGCTTTGCCGCTGCTTCACCTCATCTCGTGTCCATGCTGCTTGCCCCTGAGGGAGACCCGGATGCACTAGACATCCCGACCCCACGCTCTTACGCAGAGGCGATAGAGGGTCCCTACTCCTCTCAGTGGCAGGCAGCCATGGACGCAGAGATGGCTTCCTGGAAGTCCACAGGCACCTACGTAGACGAGGTTCCCCCACCTGGGGCGAACATCGTCAGTGGCATGTGGATCTTCAGGGTGAAGCGGCCGCCGGGTTCTCCGCCTGCCTTCAAGGCGCGTTACGTTGCACGTGGCTTCAGTCAGCGACAGGGAGTTGACTTCTTTCAGACCTTCTCCCCTACCCCGAAGATGACCACTCTTCGGGTACTGCTGCACGTTGCTGCTCAGCGTGACTACGAGCTCCACTCGCTTGACTTCAGCACAGCCTTCCTACAGGGCAGCCTGCACGAGGAGATCTGGCTGCGCCGCCCACCTGGCTTCACTGGGTCGTTTCCTGCTGGTACCCAGTGGAGCCTCCGGCGGCCAGTCTACGGTCTCCGCCAGGCGCCCCGTGAGTGGCACGACACGCTCAGGACGACTCTTGCTGCTCTTGGTTTTGCTCCTTCCACTGCTGACCTTTCTCTGTTTCTACGCACTGACGCTACTCTGCCGCCGTTCTACGTTCTTGTGTACGTAGACGACCTTGTCTTTGCTACTGCTGACGACCGTGAAGTCGGAGCTGCAGAAGAGACACACGTGCACAGACCTGGGTGAACTGCGCAGCTACCTTGGCTTGCAGATCACCCGGGACAGAGCACGCCGCACCATCACACTGACTCAGTCACACATGGTGCAGCAGGTCCTTCAGCGCTTCGGTTTCACCTGGTCCTCAGCACAGGCCACTCCTCTGGCTACAGGTCACTCGCTCTCAGCTCCACCTTCGGACGAGTCCGTAGAGTCGAGTGGTTCTTACCCAGAGTTAGTGGGCTGCCTCATGTACCTGATGACTTGCACTCGTCCTGACCTTGCGTACCCTCTTGGCCTTCTGGCTCGCTACGTGGCTCCTGGTCGGCACCGAAAGGTGCACATGGATGCTGCCAAGAGGGTACTACGCTACTTGTGCAGTACATCGGGCATGGGGCTCGTGCTTGGAGGACGGGGTGACGTTGTCCTCACTGGTCACTTGGACGCTTCTTGGGTTGACGACCAGGCTACGCAGCGGTCGTCACAGGGTTACACCTTCAGCCTTGGCTCTGGTTCAGTTTCTTGGCGTTCTACACGCTCGTCTTCAGTTCTCGGCTCCAGTTGTGAGGCTGAGATCTACGCCACAGCCATGGCTGCACAGGAGCTTCGCTGGCTCACCTACCTGCTGACTGACTTGGGAGAGCGGCCTCGTTCTCCTCCAGTGCTGTACGTCGACAACAAGGCCGCCATTGCCTTGTGTCAGGAGCACAGACTGGAGCACAGAACGAAGCACATCGCTCTCCGTTACTTTCTTGCTCGAGAGCTGCAGCAGCGTGGCCAGCTTCGTCTCACCTACGTGGCCACTCGGGCCAACACTGCTGATATATTCACCAAGGCACTTCCGCCTGGTGATCATCAGCGTTTCTGCACTTTGTTAGGCCTTGTGCCCACTCTTCCTCACTTGCTGTAGGCTTTGTTTGTACCATGATTTATATGTATTTCTGCATGCTTGTTCTTGTAAGTAGATTTCACTGTACTGCTGTTGTTACATATATATCTCTGCATGTGAACTGGCCTTGTGGCCTTCTTGCTTGTGCTCAGACTGCGTGGTGACGTTGTGATCCACCCTGAGCTTGCTTTGCACTTCCTGACTGGTCTTGTGACCCTCTGTTCTCCCCCACTCTGCCTATGGGGGTGTGTCAAACATATGTATATCTATGTTATATTTTGGGTAGGCTTAGTGGGGTACACACTGTGGGGTACAACCCCTTAGGTTCATTTTCCTTGTACCAACCTTCTCGATAGTACACATCACTCATGCCTAGCTTCTAAGAACCGGTACCGGTATGGCATAAATTGCATGGGAGACAATGAGGATTTGTACAGGAGACGTGACATTTCTGTTTTGAGGAGGTCTTGAAATACGGATCTGTAGTTGAGTTGTCGAAGTACCCAGGTAAATAAACATATGCGAGCAGTCAGCAACGCAAGTTAGATTGGAAAGGATAAACAAAGCAGGGCCATGGTGCACCATACCGTAAGGAAATTTTGTTGGTTATTTGTAAACCTTGTCAGCTACAAATGCTTGGATTGGAGACACACGGCCCTGAATCCTGATGCAATGGTTTGTGCAGCAAAGCACCAACTTTCAATGTCTGTTGGTAGCACATAGAGCACATGCAGGAGATGCAGGAGATGCAGGAGATGGCGAACATGGTGGAATGGCTGGTGGAGGAGCGGCCACGTTAGGAGGGGAATGTGCAGCCGGGTGTGGTGTGGCTGTTAGAGAGAGGAACCGGTTGCTGTTCGGGATGAAGGTGGCAAATCATGTGGCAACCGCAACCACTTTCACATGCACATGTGGGCTTGATTCGAGTCAAGGTTCACCTTGGTGCACATGTGGAAGGCGGAGAAGTTTAAATCTGTTTTTGAAAATTCTTAAAAGGCAGACAGTCGCATGCACATGTGAGCTTGAGTCGAGTCAAGAGTCAGCTTGGTGCACATGTGGAAGGCAGAGAAGGTGCGTCAGGCCCAGCGGGGGCAGCCGATGTAGCAAGTTAGGCAAGGGCGACACGGGTAGCAGATACAGCAGGTGCAACAGGGGCAGCAGGTGGGGCAGCAGGTAAAATAACAGATGCAGCAGGCAGTGCAGCAGGCAGTGCAGGTTCGGGAATGAACTGGTTGCGGTTGGGGATGGAGATGGCAGCGTCGATGTTGTCAGGCAGGCCCCTGTGCCGCCCCAGCAGCATCACGAGCACGAGAACCAGCTTGGACCAAGGGCTCCACACGCCTGTGGGTAGAAATCAGAGGGGTACGGGGAGAGGAGAGAGAAACATGACTTCGTTCCAAGTCATCTAAGAGAAAAACTCAGAGCCGCATCACGAGCACAAGAACCAGCTTGGACCAAGGGCTCCACACGCCTGTGGGTAGAAAAGGGGTACGGGGAAAGGAGAGAGGGAAACATGACCTAGTACTGATGCGCAACTAAAAGAAAAAACACCCAGCAGCATCACGAGCACGAGAATCAGCTTGGACCAAGGGCCCCACACGCCTGTGGGGAGTAAAAGGGGTACGGGGAAAGGAGAGAGGGACATAACCTAGTAGTGATGCGGCGACTAAAAGAAATAACACCCAGCAGCATCACGAGCACAAGAACCAGCTTGGACCAAGGGCTCCACACACCTGTGGGGAGAAATCAGAGGGGTACGAGGGAAGAAGAGAGAGAAACATAATGTGTACTTTTTAGGCGCCTAAATAAATAAACGAGAGAGACACATAATGTGGTTCTCAGGCGCCTATTATAAAAAACGCCAGAACCACCTTGTTCCAGCAGTTTCCCGTGCCTGTGGGGTGCTTTTGAGCACTCCAAAAATGAACCGCCTTGGACCAGGAATCCCAGATGCGGTGAGGTGGGGAGTGCTGGGATGCGGGGAAATACACTTGGGAAACAAGAGCAAGAGATTTGGAATGATCTGAATCTAGCAGAATGTAATACAAATATGCAGACACGCATGCATGTCCCGAAGAATGATCAAAATTTCAAATGGGACGGCCGACTTTTGAGGCGCCTCAAAACACGCACGCATGTCCCTAAGAATGATAAAAAATCAAATGGGATGGCTGACTTTTGAGGCGCCTCAAAACATGCACGCATGTCCCAAAGAATGATAAAAAATCAAATGGGATGGCTGACTTTTGAGGCGCCTCAAAACATGCACGCATGTCCCAAAGAATGAAAAAAAATCAAATGGGATGGCTGACTTTTGAGGCGCCTCAAAACATGCACGCATGTCCCAAAGAATGATAAAAAATCAAATGGGATGGCTGACTTTTGAGGCGCCTCAAAACATGCCCGCATGTCCGTAAGAATGATAAAAAATCAAATGGGATGGCTGACTTTTGAGGCGCCTCAAAACACGCACGCATGTCCGTAAGAATGATAAAAAATCAAATGGGATGGCTGACTTTTGAGGCGCCTCAAAACATGCACGCATGTCCCAAACTAAGAATGATCAAACTTCAAATGGGACGGCTGACCAGATCCCTCTTCTCCCCACTGCCTCCTTCCTCCCAACCAGGCTGAGAACGCACCAGAGAAGGCACTTGAGAATTTTACAAGGGACGTACCAGAGAAGGCACTTGAGATTTTTACAAGGGACGTACCAGAGAAGGCACTTTGAAAAAAACATTACACAAGGACGCACCAGAGAAGGCACATTGGGAAATTTTGCACAAGGACGCACCAGAGAAGCTGTAAGGAGGGGAGACACAGCTGGGGCCAGCTTCAGGCGGACAGGTGTAGCCCAGGGAGAGGCCCACATTGCCATATCCACTGCCAGAAAAGAACACGTGCAAGGATGGGTATGTTGAGAGATGTTCAGACAGAGTCACCGGAGAGAAGCTGTGGCCAGGCGAAGCACATTACTAAGGCATGTCAAAATTAGAAGAGGTTAAATTTGCCAAATCCACTATGGAGATGCCTCTCGAGCGAAGCACCTGAGAAGACGGGTTTTGAGGCACCGACAAAAAAACACACACACACACACACACGCACGCACGCACGCATGCACGCACGCACACACACACACACACACCTGCTCAAAGATGTTGAAGTTGGAGATGTAGTTGGTGATGTTGTCGCTCTCTATAAGGCAGATCACCAGCAGAGCCATTAAGAGCGATTGAGGGCCTAAGCTGTCCCTTGATGAAGGTTTGAACAAGCATGTGGGGACTGGGCGCACTCACTTACCTGATAAGCTCAAAGGCGATGTTAAAGATGTTGAAGTTGGAGATGTCGTTGGTGATGTTGGCGCTCTCTATGAGACAGATCACCAGCAGAGCCATGAAGAGCATCGCTGAATCACGTAGGAGCAGCCCTCTACTCTGGGTGAACACCCCGTGGTCCAACACTCCCCCCTGCATGGATTGTCGAGGGAAGACGCATGTGCATGTGATGCATAAGGCCAGCTAAATCACAATTCGTTTACAGAACCTCTGATCCACCAGCACACCAACATGACTCGTGTCAAAAAAAAAAAAAAACACACACACATACACACGTACAACAAACTTGAGTAACCATCTCAGCCCTCACAGGTTACCTCAGACCTAACCCCATACTTATGACTTTTTAGTCGACTCAATGACCCCATATAAATGGGGGCAACAGAGTGTGCACAACTCACAACCCTCCTCATCCCCCACACCCATCTAACACACCCTTTCCCATCGCCCCCACACCCCTCCCCACCCATCCCTCAAGTTCTCACTCATTCACTCAAAAACTTGCCTGCAAGTCCTCTTGGAACACCCCGATATCCTCATCACCATACACCTCCCTCTGCTATGTTCTGCCGGTATACACCTCCCTATGCTATGTTCTGCCGCTATACACCTCCCTCTGCTATGTTCTGCAGGTATACACCTCCCTCTGCTATGTTCTGCCGCTATACACCTCCCTCTGCTATGTTCTGTCGCTATACACCTCCCTCTGCTATGTTCTGCCGCTATACACCTCCCTCTGCTATGTTCTGCCGCTATACACCTCCCTCTGCTATGTTCTGCCGCTATACACCTCCCTCTGCTATGTTCTGCCGCTATACACCTCCCTCTGCTATGTTCTGCCGCTATACACCTCCCTCTGCTATGTTCTGCCGCTATACACCTCCCTCTGCTATGTTCTGCCGGTATACACCTCCCTCTGCTATGTTCTGCCGGTATACACCTCCCTCTGCTATGTTCTGCAGGTATACACCTCCCTCTGCTATGTTCTGCCGCTATACACCTCCCTCTGCTATGTTCTGCCGCTATACACCTCCCTCTGCTATGTTCTGCCGCTATACACCTCCCTCTGCTATGTTCTGCCGGTATACACCTCCCTATGCTATGTTCTGCCGCTATACACCTCCCTCTGCTATGTTCTGCAGGTATACACCTCCCTCTGCTATGTTCTGCCGCTATACACCTCCCTCTGCTATGTTCTGCCAGTATACACCTCCCTCTGCTATGTTCTGCCGGTATACACCTCCCTCTGCTATGTTCTGCAGGTATACACCTCCCTATGCTATGTTCTGCCGCTATACACCTCCCTCTGCTATGTTCTGCAGGTATACACCTCCCTCTGCTATGTTCTGCCGCTATACACCTCCCTCTGCTATGTTCTGCCGCTATACACCTCCCTCTGCTTTGTTCTGCCGCTATACACCTCCCTCTGCTATGTTCTGCAGGTATACACCTCCCTCTGCTATGTTCTGCCGCTATACACCTCCCTCTGCTATGTTCTGCCGCTATACACCTCCCTCTGCTATGTTCTGCCGCTATACACCTCCCTCTGCTATGTTCTGCCGCTATACACCTCCCTCTGCTATGTTCTGCCGCTATACACCTCCGTCTGCTATGTTCTGCCGCTATACACCTCCCTCTGCTATGTTCTGCCGCTATACACCTCCCTCTGCTATGTTCTGCCGGTATACACCTCCCTCTGCTATGTTCTGCCGCTATACACCTCCCTCTGCTATGTTCTGCCGCTATACACCTCCCTCTGCTATGTTCTGCCGCTATACACCTCCCTCTGCTATGTTCTGCCGCTATACACCTCCCTCTGCTATGTTCTGCCGCTATACACCTCCCTCTGCTATGTTCTGCCGCTATACACCTCCCTCTGCTATGTTCTGCCGCTATACACCTCCCTCTGCTATGTTCTGCAGGTATACACCTCCCTCTGCTATGTTCTGCCGCTATACACCTCCCTCTGCTATGTTCTGCCGGTATACACCTCCCTCTGCTATGTTCTGCCGCTATACACCTCCCTCTGCTATGTTCTGCCGCTATACACCTCCCTCTGCTATGTTCTGCCGCTATACACCTCCCTCTGCTATGTTCTGCAGGTATACACCTCCCTCTGCTATGTTCTGCCGCTATACACCTCCCTCTGCTATGTTCTGCCGGTATACACCTCCCTCTGCTATGTTCTGCCGCTATACACCTCCCTCTGCTATGTTCTGCCGCTATACACCTCCCTCTGCTATGTTCTGCCGGTATACACCTCCCTCTGCTATGTTCTGCCGCTATACACCTCCCTCTGCTATGTTCTGCCGGTATACACCTCCCTCTGCTATGTTCTGCCGCTATACACCTCCCTCTGCTATGTTCTGCCGGTATACACCTCCCTCTGCTATGTTCTGCCGCTATACACCTCCCTCTGCTATGTTCTGCCGCTATACACCTCCCTCTGCTATGTTCTGCCGGTATACACCTCCCTATGCTATGTTCTGCCGCTATACACCTCCCTCTGCTATGTTCTGCAGGTATACACCTCCCTCTGCTATGTTCTGCCGCTATACACCTCCCTCTGCTATGTTCTGCCGGTATACACCTCCCTCTGCTATGTTCTGCCGCTATACACCTCCCTCTGCTATGTTCTGCCGCTATACACCTCCCTCTGCTATGTTCTGCCGCTATACACCTCCCTCTGCTATGTTCTGCCGCTATACACCTCCCTCTGCTATGTTCTGCCGCTATACACCTCCCTCTGCTATGTTCTGCCGCTATACACCTCCCTCTGCTATGTTCTGCCGCTATACACCTCACTCTGCTATGTTCTGCCGGTATACACCTCCCTCTGCTATGTTCTGCCGCTATACACCTCCCTCTGCTATGTTCTGCCGCTATACACCTCCCTCTGCTATGTTCTGCCGCTATACACCTCCCTCTGCTATGTTCTGCCGCTATACACCTCCCTCTGCTATGTTCTGCCGCTATACACCTCCCTCTGCTATGTTCTGCCGGTATACACCTCCCTCTGCTATGTTCTGCCGCTATACACCTCCCTCTGCTATGTTCTGCCGCTATACACCTCCCTCTGCTATGTTCTGCCGCTATACACCTCCCTCTGCTATGTTCTGCCGCTATACACCTCCCTCTGCTATGTTCTGCCGCTATACACCTCCCTCTGCTATGTTCTGCCGCTATACACCTCCCTCTGCTATGTTCTGCCGCTATACACCTCCCTCTGCAATGTTCTGCCGCTATACACCTCCCTCTGCTATGTTCTGCCGCTATACACCTCCCTCTGCTATGTTCTGCCGCTATACACCTCCCTCTGCTATGTTCTGCCGGTATACACCTCCCTCTGCTATGTTCTGCCGCTATACACCTCCCTCTGCTATGTTCTGCCGCTATAAACGTCCCTCTGCTATGTTCTGCCGGTATACACCTCCCTCTGCTATGTTCTGCCGCTATACACCTCCCTCTGCTATGTTCTGCCGCTATACACCTCCGTCTGCTATGTTCTGCCGCTATACACCTCCCTCTGCTATGTTCTGCCGCTATACACCTCCCTCTGCTATGTTCTGCCGCTATACACCTCCCTCTGCTATGTTCTGCCGCTATACACCTCCCTCTGCTATGTTCTGCCGGTATACACCTCCCTCTGCTATGTTCTGCCGCTATACACCTCCCTCTGCTATGTTCTGCCGCTATACACCTCCCTCTGCTATGTTCTGCCGCTATACACCTCCCTCTGCTATGTTCTGCCGGTATACACCTCCCTCTGCTATGTTCTGCCGCTATACACCTCCCTCTGCTATGTTCTGCCGGTATACACCTCCCTCTGCTATGTTCTGCCGCTATACACCTCCCTCTGCTATGTTCTGCCGCTATACACCTCCCTCTGCTATGTTCTGCCGCTATAAACGTCCCTCTGCTATGTTCTGCCGGTATACACCTCCCTCTGCTATGTTCTGCCGGTATACACCTCCCTCTGCTATGTTCTGCCGCTATACACCTCCCTCTGCTATGTTCTGCCGGTATACACCTCCCTCTGCTATGTTCTGCCGCTATACACCTCCCTCTGCTATGTTCTGCCACTATACACCTCCCTCTGCTATGTTCTGCCGCTATACACCTCCCTCTGCTATGTTCTGCCGGTATACACCTCCCTCTGCTATGTTCTGCCGCTATACACCTCCCTCTGCTATGTTCTGCCGGTATACACCTCCCTCTGCTATGTTCTGCCCCTATACACCTCCCTGTGCTATGTTCTGCCGCTATACACCTCCCTCTGCTATGTTCTGCCGCTATACACCTCCCTCTGCTATGTTCTGCCGCTATACACCTCCCTCTGCTATGTTCTGCCGCTATACACCTCCCTCTGCTATGTTCTGCCGGTATACACCTCCCTCTGCTATGTTCTGCCGCTATACACCTCCCTCGGCTATGTTCTGCCGGTATACACCTCCCTCTGCTATGTTCTGCCGCTATACACCTCCCTCTGCTATGTTCTGCCGGTATACACCTCCCTCTGCTATGTTCTGCCGCTATACACCTCCCTCTGCTATGTTCTGCCGGTATACACCTCCCTCTGCTATGTTCTGCCGCTATACACCTCCCTCTGCTATGTTCTGCCGGTATACACCTCCCTCTGCTATGTTCTGCCGCTATACACCTCCCTCTGCTATGTTCTGCCGCTATACACCTCCCTCTGCTATGTTCTGCCGCTATACACCTCCCTCTGCTATGTTCTGCAGGTATACACCTCCCTCTGCTATGTTCTGCCGCTATACACCTCCCTCTGCTATGTTCTGCCGGTATACACCTCCCTCTGCTATGTTCTGCCGCTATACACCTCCCTCTGCTATGTTCTGCCGCTATACACCTCCCTCTGCTATGTTCTGCCGGTATACACCTCCCTCTGCTATGTTCTGCCGCTATACACCTCCCTCTGCTATGTTCTGCCGGTATACACCTCCCTCTGCTATGTTCTGCCGCTATACACCTCCCTCTGCTATGTTCTGCCGGTATACACCTCCCTCTGCTATGTTCTGCCGCTATACACCTCCCTCTGCTATGTTCTGCCACTATACACCTCCCTCTGCTATGTTCTGCCGGTATACACCTCCCTCTGCTATGTTCTGCCGGTATACACCTCCCTCTGCTATGTTCTGCCGCTATACACCTCCCTCTGCTATGTTCTGCCGCTATACACCTCCCTCTGCTATGTTCTGCCGGTATACACCTCCCTCTGCTATGTTCTGCCGGTATACACCTCCCTCTGCTATGTTCTGCCGCTATACACCTCCCTCTGCTATGTTCTGCCGGTATACACCTCCCTCTGCTATGTTCTGCCGCTATACACCTCCCTCTGCTATGTTCTGCCGCTATACACCTCCCTCTGCTATGTTCTGCCGCTATACACCTCCCTCTGCTATGTTCTGCCGCTATACACCTCCCTCTGCTATGTTCTGCTGGTATACACCTCCCTCTGCTATGTTCTGCCGGTATACACCTCCCTCTGCTATGTTCTGCCGCTATACACCTCCCTCTGCTATGTTCTGCCGCTATACACCTCCCTCTGCTATGTTCTGCCGGTATACACCTCCCTCTGCTATGTTCTGCCGCTATACACCTCCCTCTGCTATGTTCTGCCGGTATACACCTCCCTCTGCTATGTTCTGCCGCTATACACCTCCCTCTGCTATGTTCTGCCGGTATACACCTCCCTCTGCTATGTTCTGCCGCTATACACCTCCCTCTGCTATGTTCTGCCGCTATACACCTCCCTCTGCTATGTTCTGCCGCTATACACCTCCCTCTGCTATGTTCTGCCGCTATACACCTCCCTCTGCTATGTTCTGCCGGTATACACCTCCCTCTGCTATGTTCTGCCGCTATACACCTCCCTCTGCTATGTTCTGCCGCTATACACCTCCCTCTGCTATGTTCTGCTGCTATACACCTCCCTCTGCTATGTTCTGCCGGTATACACCTCCCTCTGCTATGTTCTGCCGCTATACACCTCCCTCTGCTATGTTCTGCCGCTATACACCTCCCTCTGCTATGTTCTGCCGCTATACACCTCCCTCTGCTATGTTCTGCCGCTATACACCTCCCTCTGCTATGTTCTGCCGCTATACACCTCACTCTGCTATGTTCTGCCGCTATACACCTCCCTCTGCTATGTTCTGCCGCTATACACCTCCCGCTGCTATGTTCTGCCGCTATACACCTCCCTCTGCTA